CGGAGGCCGGGGCGGAGGCCGGGGCGGAGGCCCTAACGTCCCCTACGGAGGCGGGGGCAGCCCGTTCGAGGCCGGCTACAGCTTCCGCAACCCGGAGGACATTTTCCGCGAGTTCTTCGGCGGCCTCGACCCTTTCTCCTTCGACTTCTGGGACTCCCCTCTCGGGGGCGGCGGAGGCCGGGCCTCCGGGGGCGGCGGAGGCCGGGCCTCCGGGAACGGAGGCCGGGGCCTCCGCGGGGCCTTCTCCGCGGGCTTCGGGGAGTTCCCGGCCTTCATGGAGGCTTTCTCGTCGTTCGACGCGCCCGGCCGGGGCGGGGGCAGCCGCACGGCCTTCTCCTCGGCCTCCTTCGGAGGCTCGGCCGGAGGCAGCTCGGGCTTCAGGTCGGTGATGTCGTCCACGGAGGTCGTCAACGGCCACAAGGTCACCACGAAGAGGGTCGTGGAGAACGGGCAGGAGAGGGTGGAGGTCGAGGAGGACGGGCAGCTCAAGTCGGTCACCATCAACGGCAAGGAGCAGCTGAAGCGCGTCGACAACAAGTAGAGGCCGGGCCTCCCCGCCGGGCCTCCTCCTCCTCCCCCCCCCAGCCGCCGGGCCGCCTCCCTTAGAGGCTTTGAATAAATGTGCCAAGTGAGTTCGTGCAGACGCGGGAGCCCGGCCTCGCTTTTTTTTTTGTTTGCTTGTTATTTTTTTTTCGGCTTCCGAGGCTCGCCGGCCTCCCGTCTCGGCCTCCCTGCCGAGGATATATAGATGGGATGTCGGGTTTACTATTATTATTGTTGTTGTTGTTGTTGTTTTTAGTGGAGACCGGGTCTGGCTCTTGGGCTCAGGGTGGTTTTGAAGTCCTGGCCTCGAATGAGCGGGCCTCCCGCCTCGGCCTCCCTCCTGAAGATATATAGCTGAGAAGAGAGGCATGAGCCTCCGCGCCCAGCTCGTTTTATTATTATTATTATTATTGTTATTATTATTTTTAGTAGAGACGGGGTCTCGCTCCTGCTGTCAGGGTGATCTCGAAGTCCTGGCCTCGGCTGAGCGGGCCTCCCGCCTCGGCCTCCCTGCCGAGGATATATAGCTGGGACGACGGGTTTATTATTATTATTATTTTATCTTTTATTATTATTTTTTAGTAGAGACGGGGTCTCGCTCTTGCTCTCAGGGTGATTCCCAAGTCCTGGCCTCCAACTCCGAGCCTCCCGTCTCGGCCTCCCTCCCGAGGATATATAGCTGGGACGACAGGCGTGAGCCTCCGCGTCCGGCTCGTATTATTATTATTATTATTATTATTATTGTTTTTAGTAGAGACGGGGTCTCGCTCTTGCTCTTACAGTGATCTCGAAGTCCTGGCCTCGAATGAGTGGGCCTCCCGCCTCAGCCTCCCTCCTGAGTATATATAGCTGGGACAACAGGCGTGAGCCTCCGCGCCCGGCTCATTTTATTATTATTATTATTATTATTTTTAGTAGAGACGGGGTCTCGCTCTTGCTCAGGCTGGCCTCGACCTCCTGGCCTCGAGCAATCCTCCCTCCTCGGCCTCCCAGAGCGCTGGGATGACAGTTATTTATTTTTTTTATCTATTTTTAATTGGCCAATTAATTTCTCTCTATTTTTTTTTAGTAGAGACAAGGGGATCTCACTCTTGCTCTCAGGCCGGCCTCCAACTCCCGGCCTCCAGCGATCCTCCCGCCTCGGCCTCCCTCCCGAGTAGCTGGGACCACAGCCATGCGCCACCACGCCCGGCTCGTTTTATTATTATTATTTATATTTTTAAATAGAGACGGGGTTCTCGCTCTTGCTCTCAGGCCGGCCTCCACCTCCCGGCCTCGAGCGAGCGAGCCTCCCGCCTCGGCCTCCTCCCAGAGTGCCGGGATGCCAGGCGCCAGCCTCCACCGCGCCCGGCCTTCTGATGGCATTTCCCGGAACCAGGTCACCCTCCCTGGACCTGGCGGTGACACACACACACAAGGTCAAAGGTGAAAGGTCAGGCCGCCCCCTGTCCCTACTTAAGGGGACATCGGACTCCTCACTGTGACATTAACCGCCCGGGACTTGCTGATCCCGCCAATTAGAGGCCAGCTGGGGCCTCCCCCGGTGGCCTCCAATGGATGGATCGATCGGCGCCACCCACCCAGCCACCCAGCCGCCGGGCGAACAAAGGGGGTCGAGGCCCGAGAAACGTGGAGGCCGCCTTGTTCCGGGCCTCGAAAATCTGGGTTCGTCCCTGCCAGGGCCCCCCCTGTCCCCGAACCTCGGCCCTAAAATATCGCGGAGGCTTTTTGTAAAAAATCTCTCCCGGACTCGGACTCCGAATTGAGCTCAGGCTGGCCTCCAACTCCTGACCTCGAGCGAGCCTCCCTCCTCGGCCTCCCAGAGTGCTGGGACGACAGGCGTGAGCCCCCCGGGACCTTAGCGTCATTTGACAGCCGGGGAAAAGGGAGCCCGAGGAGGCCGCTGTTTGGGGAGGCCGGGGAGGCCAGGGAGGCCGGGGAGGGGTGAGGCCCCGTCCGACCTCCATTGTGTGGCCTTCGAGGCCCGGGTGTCCCCGACCTCACAGGGCAGCCGTGAGCCCCGCCCGGCAATCGTGACAGGCGTGGAGGCCGCCTCGACCTCCGGCCTCCACTCACCTGGAGAAATGGAGGCTCATTTCTGTCCACCTCGGTCCTGCTCGGACCTCGACCCCGAAGTCCAGCGGAGGCCACCCTGCCGGCCTGGCCTCCTCCCCCCCGGTAATGTCCCTTCCTCGGGGGACAAGTCGAGCTGGGGCCCCGGGTCCCCACCGCCACGTGCTCTGTCCTGTGGCCTCCTCTTCCGGCCTCCACTTCCTCACGGGTCTCCCCTTTCCTTCAAGGAGGGTGGCCAGTGGTGGCCGGTGGTGGCCGTCACCGTGGTCACCCCTCCCCCACCAGGAAGGAAGCTCGGCGGTGTTGGACAGATGGGGAAACTGAGGCAGGGCAGGGGACGAGAGGGAGAGGAGACGGCCCGGGGTGGCCCAGCCTGGTGGTGGCCGGTGGTGGCCGTCAGCCTAGTTGTCACCCCCACCGGGAAGGAATCTCGGTGACTTTGGACAGATGGGGAAACTGAGGCAGGGCAGGGGATGAGAGGGAGAGGAGAGGCCCGGGGTGGCCCAGGCCGGTGATGGCCGTCGCCCTGCCCCCCTCCGGCCGCCCCCCCCCCCCGGGACGGGTTGGGGACACCACGGCCACCCCCAGCCCCCCCTGTCCCCCCGTCCCCCGCCCCGCCCCCGCTCCCGGCCTCCCCGCCGAGATCTTATCGAGGCTGATTTAATTTCAAAGACGGATGGAGCCCGGCCGCGCCGCTAATCGGGGGCCGCCATCTGTCCCGTTGCCATGGCGACGGGCTGCCGGGAGGGGAGGGGGGAGGGGCTGGGAGGCCTCGGGAGGGACCCGCGCGCGGGTTGGGGACCGGGACAGAGACGGGGACGGAGACGGGGACAGAGACGGGGAGAGACACAGAGAGACAGAGACGGGGAGAGACAGAGAGAGACAGAGACAGAGAGAGAGACAAAGAGAGGCAGAGACAGACACAGGGAGAGACAGAGATAGGGAGAGGAAGAAAGAGACAGAAAGAGACAGAGAGAGGAAGAGAGAGACACAGAGAGACAGAGACAGAGAGAGACACAGAGACAGAGAGAGACAGACAGAGAGAGACACAGAGGCAGACAGAGAGAGACACAGAGAGAGACAGAGAGACAGACAGAGAGAGACAGAGACAGGGACAGAGAGAGACAGGGAGAAACAGAGGCAGAGAGAGAGAAAGAGACACAGAAAGAGAGAGACAGGGAGACACAGAGAGACAGATAGAGACAGACAGAGACAGGGACAGAGACAGAGAGACAGAGAGACAGACACAGACAGGGCAAGGAAGATAGAGACAGACAGAGACAGAGAGAGAGAAAGAGACACAGAAAGAGAGAGACATAGAGAGGCAGAGAGAGACAGGGAGACAGAGAGAGACAGGGAGAGACAGAGAGAGAGACAGAGAGACAGGGAGAGACAGAGAGACAGGGAGAGACAGAGGCAGAGAGAGAGAAAGAGACACAGAAAGAGAGACAGAGAGACAGACAGAGACAGAGAGAGACAGACAGGGAGAGACGGACAGGGAGAGACAGACAGACATAGAGACAGAGACATAGAGAGGAAGACAGAGACACAGATAGAGAGACAGAGACAGAGAGACACACAGGATAAACCAGAGCCACCAAAGGGGACCAGGACAAACGGGTCGCGGGCGCCCGACTTCGGAGACCCCAAACACGGACAGACCCGTCCGCGCCCCAAGCACCCGGCTGGTCCCTGTCTTGGGGACCCCGGTCCCCCCCCCGAGTCAGCTCAGATCGGGGACATCAGAGCCCTGAGTGCGGCTCCTGCAAGACTTTCATCATCGAAACCTCCGCGGAGGCTCATGGCTGTCGTCCCGGCACTCCGGGAGGCCGAGGCGGGAGGCTCGCTCGAGGCCAGGAGGTCGAGGCCAGCCTGAGCAAGAGCGAGACCCCGTCTCTACTAAAAAATAGAAAGAAATTAATTGGAAAAATAAAAAGATACAGAGAAACTGTCATCCCGGCAGCTCTGGGAGGCCGAGGCGGGAGGCGAGGATCCTGGAGCAGGAGTTGCGAGCCAGCGCTGAGCCCAAGAATGAGATCCCGTTCTCTACAAAAAAAAAAAAATAGAAAGAAATTAGAACAAAGAACTAAAAATTATATATAGAAAAAACGAGCGGGGCGTGGAGGCGCGTGCTGTAGTCCCAGCTACTCGGCCGAGG